AATTTTCTAATATGAAATTTAATGGCAAATATATGTTAAACAGCAATTTGGCAAAATTTTTCTAAATCTTTGTTTTTGAGCATTTCTCTTTTATAGCCTACATACAAGGTTTTGTAATCCCCCCTTATATGTCACTTTGGCATAAAGGAAGTAAATTCTGGAAGGTGACTTTCTAAGTATTTGGATTTAATTTCACCTCTATCCTTGATATCTTAAATACAAAATGAAGATTCTCTTTCATTTAATTAAAACCAGGAGTTCCTTCTTCTGTTTTTTTAAACACAATGTTATTAAATATTTATTTAAAAACTGTGTACTTTTGGAAGTTAAGACATGCTAACAGCATACTTTGAAAACAAATACCTATGTACTTATTACTTAGATATTTTTAAAGAAAAATCAAATGTTATAAAGATGAAGTACCCTTTTAAGCTACCTGGTAGTTTTTCTACATATATGTATTGAAAAGGTTTTGGAGTACAGTCACATAATAATGTTAGTTAACAATGCCCACATACGTGACCATGGTCCCATAAGATTATATTGGAGCTGAATAAATCCTATTACCTAGTGGCATCTTAGTCATTGTAGTCTCCTGATGCAACACATTACTCATGTGTTTGTGGTGATGCCTGTGTAAACAAACCTGCACTGTCAGTTGCATAAAACTATGCTCCTGCAATTTTATATATATCTGATAATAAAAATAAAAAGCTGGAGTATTTACTGGTTTATATATTAATATATAATATTTTTATCAGTTTTGAGTGAAATTCTATCATAACAAAAGCTTACTGTGAAATAGTTTGCTATGTTATGCCAACAGAAGCTTCAGGCATGTCTTGCTTACTGTGTCTCTTGCCTATATCAAGAAACCAGTTTAAGTGATTGACCTATGCCACTGAGGTTTGTGTAAGTACCCTATATGATGTGCACAATGATTACATGAATCAATGATGAGTTTCTCAGAACATGTCCATGTTATTGCATTCATTTTAGCTGCTTAAATAATTTATAAATTGTGAGAAAATTATATTGCTATGACATCATTATTCTTGCTATTCCTAGAGATATGAATGATTGAAAAATCTTTTTAAGAAAAATGGGGAAGTTTCCATCAAAATAGATGAGAGATCCATGGAGTAGAATAAGGATTTTGAGGGGGAGGAAAGAGAGAGGGGAAAAGGGAAGAACAGTGTTTGAATCTGACCTAACTTTCCTATGTACATATATGAATATAACACAGGAATATCATCTTCATGTATATCCACAAGGCATTAATTTAAAAGATGATATAAGTAAATAGCAGAAAGATTAGTAGAGTAGAGTGAAGGGAATAAGGGAGGGAGGTAGAGAGGGAAAGGAGAAGTACTGGGGACTGAATTAGAGCAAATTATATTCCATGCTTTTAAAATTATGTCAAAATGAAACCTAATATTCTGTGTAATTAAAAAAGAATTAATACAAATACAAAATATAAAAATATTATTTTAGTTGCTGAGAGCTTAGTTATACATATCCCTCTGTTCATAATACCCTTCATCATCATTGCACTAACTCCTTTTAAGCCAGAGGTCTTGTTATATAATTATGTGAATAGGAAAGATACTTTAAATGTTTTAATAATATACAGATGTGATTTATATGCATTGAAATTCACAAATCTTAAATATGAAATTCAATTGTTTTCAAAATTTTAGAATAACAATTTTTAATGTAAAACTCCCATATAAATTGCAAAAAGTTATACTTAATATTTCCTGTGCATACTACATTAGGCTTACCCAATGACAACAGTTTACATAACCAAAATACAATTAACTTTGGTTTCAACAAGCCAGGACATTGACATTGGAGTAATATTATTACTAAACTACAGACCTTATTAGGACCTTCACCAGGTTTTACATCCTGCATAGACTCATGTAACTACCAGTAGCACACAGGACTCTTCCATTTTCCCAAAGAAACTTTCTTACTGTCCTATACAGATATACCCTCACCCTAGCCTAACCACTTGCACTTTTGTGCTGTTGCACCACTGTGATTCTGAGAATGTTATGTGAGTAATATCATAAAATATATAATCTTCTGAAATTGGCTTTTTTCATTCAACATAATGTTCTTAAGATCCATAAATACCTTTCTATATATCAAAAGTGTTTTTTTTGATTACTGTTCTTACTCTCTCTTTCTTTCTTACCAAGGACTTAAATCAGGGGCACTCAACTACTGTGTCACACTCCAGCCCTAGTTTGTGTTTTATTTAGTGACAGGGTCTCACTGAGTT